GCTCATTCATTCACAGGCACTTCCTGAACCTCTAGAGTGGTACTTATTTTTACTGACTAAATTAATTAGAAATTTTTCCAAGTGCTGCTCTAAATGCTTTCTATATATTTAGGTATTTGGTCTTCCCAACAACCCTATAAGATATATACTACTATTATTTCTACTTTACAGATGAGTAAACTGAGACACAGTGAGGTCACAGAGCTGGTGAGTAAGAAATTCAGTGATTGATCCCAGGCTTAGTTACACAAAGTTAAGACTCTTCTCAATGTGTACCTTTCTGAGTGTCTAGTGTTAGGTCCACATTGCAATACAGGAGGGGGGACACTGAAACTGTTTAGGATCTGGATGGCGGAGTTCACACTATCTCAGTCTGAAGATGGTCCACTGCTTACTGCCTACCTCTTGCAAGTTATTTAGTCTCTCTGTACCTCATTCTTCCCATCAGTAAAATGGAGAAAATAAGAGTTCTAGTATTCAGAGTTATTATAAGAATCAAATCACAAGATGTGGTATAAAATGATAAACCTGTAAATATTATTGATGATAATAATTATTAATAATTATTGCATATGATCCAATAATAGCATAATTATACAGTAATATACAAGGTCTGTAATATGAAAAATACAGACATTTAGAGTAGGCATCCCTTCAAAGTAGGCACCTTGAGACCTCACGCAGTTCTTCCAATAACCATCAGCTGCCCTGTTTTATTTTCCTGAATCTCATCAACAGTCTGAAATCTGTTCTCTTTTAAAGGTGATTTTAGTTTTGGGAAAAGCTGGAAGTCACAGAGTGCGAAATCTGGACTGTAAGAGGGTTGAGTCACCTGGGTGATTTGATGGTTTACTAAAAAATTCTGCATGAGATGTGAGGCATGAATGAGCACATTGCTGTGATAAAGCTGCTGATCACCAGTTGCCCATAGCTTGGCCTTAGGAATCATCTGAATAGTTTCTGTGGAGAAAGGTTCAAGTTTAATGTAAAGTTTGATGCAGATTTATTGCTCTACTCACTTAGTCATTTTGAATACAATGGCCACACAGTACACAGGCTCGCTCAGTGGCATCTACTACCCGCACTGACTAATACAGTGAAGTCATCATTGTTCACACATATGCATTCCTGTCTACTGTCCTTGGCTGCCAGACTACATCAATGTTGTGAAAACTGTTCACATTATATTAACCATGGCTGGACTTTTTCCACACAAACCTCATATATCTTCCCTTGAAAATTCATAGTCTAGTCAAAGACAGTTTTCATCCCTCATATTTTACATTCTAAATAATTGTTGTGCAAGAATTGGGGGGAAACAAAGATGCAGAGAGAGATGGGTACTTGATGGTAATAAATTTGTGTGTCTTGTTTGCTACTGCATCCTCAGATCCTAAGCATGTCTTCTATAGGTGCAATCTAAATGTTACATATTTAATCAGTCAATTGATTCACTAATCAATGGATGAAAATACCAGACTGAATCTGGTCTATGTCTAATAACCATGGTACTGTCATATCTGTTCTGGGATTAGAAAAAGGAGAGAAAATTTTTGATGTGTCTGGAGATCTAGACCTTAAAAGGTCTATGAGATTGCAGGGAGAAGAAGTAAGGTAACATGCTTGGCATAAGTTAATGCAAAGATATAAAATATTCCAGATGCAAGTGGAAGATAAGCACAGATGAATCTGGCTTAGACAGAGCATATTATTTAAATGAATAGTAGAATGAGACTTCAAGGGAGGCTTGGAGTTTGGTTGTGAAGTACTGTGAAAGACTTTTTACAGTCATCATAAAAACATTTCTACTAGTTTTGACATACCTAAATAAACCTGGAAACTGAGTAGTTTAGAAGGGGAGTGATTGGAGCCTGGGATATTTAATACAGATTCTTATAATAATCCAAGTGAGGGGCAATAGGATCCAATGAAAAGGCAGTGCCAATAGAAAGAAGATTGGCTAGTCCATGCTAGCATTTTGCTAATAAGAAAGCATGGAAGAAGATGTTGGAGACACAACTAGCTGAGTCTGACCCTACGCAGCCACAATCTCTGGGAGCCGCACCTTGGAAAGGACCTTGGCACCAGAAGGTTCTGGAATGTAATGAATCTAGCTCACTTCTTATTGGCTGGATGAATGAGGTGAGTTCAATGTTCTCTGTAAAGCTGTTTTAGGTGTGTGTATGCATGTAAACTTGTGGGATGTGCAGCATGTGTGTTAAGCATGATACCTGTCCTGTGCATAGAAGCCTATATAGAGAGAGTATATTTTAGTCTTTCTTGACACTTGTTAATGTGAAATTGAAGAACAAATGATGGGGTACATTTTGCCTTTAGAGGCCAGGTACTATCTGAAGATAGAAATGAATTTAGAAAAAGATAACTTGTAACAAGTTTCACTAATGTCCCTGAGTTCTAGCCTATTTATTTGTAACATGAGACCATGATATCTACATGTTAGTGTGGCTGAAAATGTAAAATGAGACCCCAGTGCCTGAAACACTTAGTATTTGTCTGGTCCATAGTAGTTATATAAAATGAATAAAAAAGTTAAGTGCCCTCTGATGTGTTGGCTCTTTGGACATGAAAACACTGGCAAATGGTTGAGGGAGTATACATCACCTTTTGAGAAACATCTAGAAGAATACTCATTGGGTTGGGTACATGCCAATGCCCAACCCAAGGCCAACTGATATGCTTTTGATCTACAGACCTACTAGAGTTACTGTTTTTTCAGTAACAAGAGCTGATAATTTGACAAAAAAAAAAACTGCTTGTGAACATTACCCAATTTCCCTCTGTAACTGAGACTTTTTCTAGGTTTTTCACAAAGCAGCAGCATGATAGGTAGAAGTGTAGTTTTGTAAAAAAGCCCCAACTCCTTTTTGCAGATGTCTGCTTCAAAGGAGTAGTTTTTCACCACCTGGTGCCTCCTTTGTCCAGAAACAGTCACAGATTATATTGGTACCTCTTTGCATTTATCTTGCAATCACTGCACCAAATTTAGATGCAAATATTGTTTTCTTAGTCAAAAGTACCTCCAAGGCCCTTATGGTAACTTAGTGCTTGAGGCAAGCCTCCCATATTTTGTCAAAGGGTGGTATTTTTCTTGTTTTCTAATTGGTTTGAGAGAGAGAGAAGAAGAAGAAAGGAGAGAGAAACATTATTTTGTTGTTCCACTTGTTCAATACATTCATTGGTTGCTTCTTATATATGCCCCGATCAGAGATCAAACCTGCAATCTTGGTGTATCAAAATGATGCTCTAACCAAATGAGCTCTCTCTGGACAGGGCTGGTTGGTCTTCTTTTTTTATTTTAATTTATTTTAATTAACTTTTTATAGTTTTTATTATGTTTTTGCCATTACTATTTAGTCCCCTTATAATGGCCCCCACAATTATCACATTGTTGTGTATGTCCATGAGTTCTTTTTTCTTTTTGCTCAATCCCTCCACCCCCTAACCTCCCTCAGCACTTAGCTGTCATCCTAGTCTTTATCTATGAGTCTGTCCCTATTTTGCTTGTTATTTCAGTCTGCTCACTAGAAAATATTATGCTAAGTGAAATCAGTGAAAGACAAATACCACATGATCTCACCTATAAGAAGAATCAAATGAACAAAATAAACAAAATAGAAACACAGGCATAGAAACATAGAACAAACTGACAGGGACCAGAATGGAGGGAGATAATGGTAGAAAGAAGGGGGAGGGACTAGTCAAAGGACATATGTGAGTAACTCACAAAACATGAACAACAGTGTGGTTGATCTTTTGGCCAAATTCACTGCACAGATGAGGCTAGGCAAGAAGCCACTATTCTCGGTGCTGAAAAGAGCTTTGCCTTGCTCCTCTCATCTTAATTCTTAGGAGGTGACATGCCATGGAGAAGGAGGAATAGCTCTGACCCACTTGATACCCCCCAGTAATCCCTGGGAAGCCCTGGTTTTTCTTTTCAGAACATTCAAGCATTTCTACAGAGGATCGCTCATCTTCCCTGTGGGTTCAGGCCTAATGTGAGCTTTAGTTAATCAACACTGGATGCTAGAAGAAACCATAAACTTGGACATGAGGCTCTCTTTTACCCTCATTTGAGTACCCACTGATGAACTTGACTTTAATTCCATGTTTTTTCATGTTTCTCTCCCTTGAATGTTGCTCCCTTCTTCTCTTTACTCATTTATTCAACAGACGCTGATCTTTGCCAGGTCACTATTAGCATGTGGAGGATAAATATATCAAGCATGATTTTTAAATTTAGGGCTCACACTGTAGCAGTGTGGTATCAGAAATAAACACACACAAACTGATAATCATTTCATAACTACACAACAGATGTGTGTGTAAAATTATCAGTAAAATATGTTCAAGAATATGTTGAATATAAACTGAGGCAGCCACTAACTTTGCTAGAGGTGGTGATAAGGAAAGCTTTCCCCAGACCCTAACATTGTAGTTGGGATTTGGAGAATACTTAGGAGTTCAGCATGTATGCCAGGTTGGTGAAAACCTTCTTGGGATAAGCAATAAGATATGAAAGAAACAGACATAGGGCATAAAGGCAAACAGGTTATCTGGGCAGCATTGAGCATGTCTAGTGGCTAGGCTGAGCAAATGGGCCCACCAAGTTAATGAATAAAGCAAGGAGATTCTGGTATGTGAGTAAAAATTGCAAGAATAAAGACCAGACTGGGGACTTGGGATCAGATCATGCACCATGTGAATGTTCTGGGAAGCCTAGAAGGCATTGTTCAGTGAGTATATATATCAATAATTTTGGTACAATGTAATCCCTGATACAAGAGTGTGTTCCAACATTTACAGAGAATCTGGAGGTCAAAGATGGGCATATGGAGGCATTCTGGCAAGTTTTGGAAGATGAACAACAATTTTCTATGCATTTTATTATATACAAATAATTTCTTATTAAAGTCAATTTTAACAATAAATAACATTTCCCCTATGAATAAGATTTTGCCTCCAGAGATGTCAGTGGACTGATGGCTTTGAGCTCAATCTGGTGCTTGGTCCTGCCCTTGGAACTCCTCTGGTGTGCGGCCGGCTCCTGCATGGCTCACGGGGATGACAAAGCTTTTCCTTTTGACATTGAAGAGAGCTCAGCAGTTGGCAGACAAGACCCGCCTGAGACCAGTGAGCCCTGCGTGGCTCCCAGAAGGCTGCCGCCTACTGCAGACACCCTGAGCAGAGAAGGCACCAACTGGTGTGAAGGCAAGATGGTGATGGAGTAGGATGGAGCAGATTCCATTTCCTTGTATACATGGGAGAGGATCCTGGCCAATCTGCAGAGGGGCAGCTCAGGCAGCCGGCCGTTTCCCGGCATATATGAAAATAAGGGACCAGAAATTGTGAAGGTCACGGAGGATCCAGATGGTAGGGAGACGGCGGCAGTACAGTGGAGTCTGAGGGACCAGAGCAAAGATGGAAGCAGCAGGGAATTTGGCTGGTGCACAGTCTGGGGACCAGTGCCTGGTGGGCAGTGCACCTTGGTGGGCACCCAGGGCTCAGGACTGGCTCCCAGTGCATCTCCATTGGACTCTTTGGGAGCCCTGGGCCTGCCGAAGGGTCCTTGGGAGAGAGCTGGGTTATCAGCTCCCTCCCTCCATGGCCAAGCAAGGTTGGGTGCCGGAAGAGACTTGTTTGCTAGAGTTTGCAGAGACGGTACTAAGGACAAAGGGCTGAGATCAACCACGGACTCTGTGGTTGCCATCTGGCAGAACTTAGAGGCACCGTGTGGGACTCTGACTCTGATATTCACAGCTGCCCAGTCTGCTCCCCACCCAGCCTGGCAGTGAACCCGAGGTTGGGTGGAGGGCCTGGAGTTCCCCCACAGAACTGGGAGGGGCCTGGGCCTGAACCTATGGGAACCAGGCAGCCTGGCCGGTGTGCTTCCCCGTCCCCACCCCCCCCCCCAACCCAGCCCATGGTGGTAACCTCTGGAAAAACAGCGCTGTGAGTAAGTCCTAGTTACCCTTCATAGGGTGCTAGGGAGAGGCGCCAGTTTAGCTCTTGGGAGAGCACTCCCAGAAAGACTACACTAATCGCCCCTCAGCCTGCTGCAGCCAGAAAAACTGGTTTGGCCAGTTTGAAACTAACAACAAATTTTAAAAAAAGTAATCTTTTATCTTTTTAATTTTATTATTGTTTTATCTTTCAATACTTTTTTCTCTTTTTTATTCTTTTCTGTTTTATTCCTTCTTCCTTTCTTTCCAAACTTATTACTTTCCTCCCTTCTCCTGCCTTTTTTTTTCTTTTACCCACAAGTGACAAAAACAACTTGGATCTGCGAAAAGACCAGAGCTGGACCCAAAGAAGAGGCTTCCCAACAGTAGAGTCAGAGAGACAAATTTTACTTTGCTATATATAGCAGAGAAGCCACAAGTTGCTGCATATTTGTAATATTATTATTTTTCATTATTCTCACTTCTTTTATATTTTAATAGTATCTTTGTATTCCTCCTCTTTCTGTATAGGCTTCCTTGCCTTGGCTGCTTATATTGTATTATTTGACAGGTTTCCCCTGTTCTCTCTTCCACAGTGTATTGCTAATTTTCTATACTTCACGTTACTTGTGTTCCTTTAGCATACTACCCAAAGTTCTATACCCGTTATTCACATTATCTAGATCACATAGATTCTGTCATATGATTGTTGCTCTAATATTATTGTAAATAATAGCTATTCTATACAACTGTAAATACTTCACAACACATCTCCCAGATCTTAGTACACTTCACAGTTTCTGGAATTCTATTACTGGAGTAATTAATTCTATTTGCTCATACTACACCTATATACTATCCTTTACTCTCACCTTACCCCATAATCTGACCAACTGCAACCTCACTGCTTTCTAGATCCAACTCACTAGACTTCCCTCTCCAACGAGAGACTTACCTTGTGTCCATCCTCTCTTAAAAGTGGAAAGTTGGGTTGAATATTACAGTTAACCCTGTATATAGCCTAAAGATCTTCTATCTCTTCTCTACCAGCTGTGACTATAAATATCATAAAATACACTCTCGCTGTCATAAACCATTTTGTTGCCCCCTCCAACTGATCACACACACACACACAAAAGGAGTAGGTTGAAGCAGAGAACACCAGGATAACTGAAGGAGACTGCACCGCTGAATTTCACAGGCATTCCACCACAGAAGTTCACACTATAAACCCAGGGAGTCAGAACAGATCAATTTAAGAAGCTGAGGCTAACAAGAAGAGTCTCACAAACAATGGGAAGACAAAGAAACAATCCCCCAATGAAAGGAAAGGAGGAAGCCTCAGAAAGAATGTTAGATGAAATAGAGGTAAGTCAACTATCTGATATTAAAATCAAAGCACTGGTTATCAGGAATTTCAAAGAGCTCACAATGAGCTACCAGAAACTACAGGGGAGCTATAATGAACTCACTGCAAACTATATCAACATGAAAAAGGAAAGAGAAACTATCAGCAAGGGCCAGGAGGAAATGAAAAATAAAATTTTTGAACTTAAGAACACAGTAGAAGGAATCAAAATCAGAACCAATGAAGCAGAAGATCAAATCAGTGAGTTGGAAAACAAAGTATAAACAAACATCCAGAAAGAGCAAGAAAAGGAAAAGAGGCTCAGAAAGAATGAAGAGGGATTAAGAGAAATGCAAGACAATATGAAACAATAATATCTGAATAATAGAAATACTAGAAGGAGAAGAAGAGCAAGAGATAGAAAACCTATTTTAAAAAATAATGATGGAAAACTTCCCTAATTTGATTAGAGAAAAAGTCATACAAATCCAGGAATCATAGAGAGTCCCAATCAAGAGGAACCCAAAGGGGCCTACTTCAAGACATATCATCATTGAAATGGCCAAATTCTAAGATAAAAAGAGAATCTTAAAGGCAGCAAGGGAGAAAAAGGAAGTAACATACAATGGAGCCCCAATAACGTTAGCTACTGACTTTTCAATGAAAATGCTCCAAACCAGAAGAGAATGGCAAGAAATATTCCAAGTAATGAGAACCAGAGGCCTGCAATCAAGGCTACTTTACCCAGCAAGGCTCTCAATCAAGATAGAAGGCCAAATAAAGAGCTTCCAAGACAAAAGAAGTCTAAAAGAATAAGCCTCCACCAAACCAGCTCTACAAGAAATACTAAAAGGACTGCTTTAAGGAAAGGAGGGAAAAGAGGGAGACAGAGGGAAACACAGGCACGGCAATGAATAGGTACCTATTAATAATAACCTTAAATGTAAATGGATTAAATGCTCCAATTAAAAGACACAGAATAGCTGCATTGATAAGAAAGCATGACCCACACATATGCTGCCTACAGGAGACCCACCTCAGGACAAAAGACCATCACAGACTAAAAGTGAAAGGCTGGAAACAAATTTTCCAAGCAAACAAACAAGAAAAAAAAGCTGGGGTAGTGATTCTCATATCAGACAAAATAGACTTCAAATAAAGGGCCATAAAGAGAGACCCAGAAGGTCACTCCATAATACTCAAAAGAAGAATCTACCAAGAAGACATTAACATTGTAAATATATATGCACCCAACATAGGAGCACCCAAATATATCAAGAAAATCTTAGAGGATCTCAAGAACGATATTGACAGCAACAAAATTATAGTGGGGGATTTTAACAACCCACTGTCAAATATGGACAGATCTTCCAAACAAAATATCAACAAACATATTGCGGCATTGAACAATGCCCTAGATAAAATGGACTTAACTGATATATATATAGAGAGCCCTTTATCCCGAACAACCTAAATACACATTCTTTCCAAATGCACATGGAACATTTTCAAAGATAGACCACATGATAGGACACAAAATGAGCTTCAACAAATTCAAGAAAATTGAAATCATACCAAGCATCTTCTCTGACCACAAGGGACTGAAACTGGAAACCAATCCTAAAGGAAAAAATCCTCAAACACTCAAAAATCATAGAGATTGAATGGCACGCTATTAAACAACAAATGGGTCAAAAATGGAATCAAAGAAGAAATCAAAACATTTCTGGAAACAAATGAAAATGAACTCACAACAACCCAAAACTTAGGGGACAAAGCAAAGGAAGTCCTGAGAAAAAATTCATAGCAATACAGGTTTACCTAAAGAAGATAGAAACATTTCAAACAAACAACCTAACCCTATGCCTGCAAGAACTCAAGGAACAACAACAAAGACAGCCCAGAGCAAGTAGAAGGATGGAAATAACCAAGATCAGAGCAGAATTAAATGTCATAGAGACTAAAAACACAATTCTAAGTATCCATGAATCCAGGAGCCTGTTTTTTGAAAAGATAAACAAAATAGACAAGCCTTTAAGTAGGCTCATCAAGAAAAGAAGAGATAGGACACAAATAAACACAATCAGAAATGAAAGAGGAGAGAATACAACTGATACCACCAAAATAGAAAGGATTGTAAGAAAGTACTATGAAGAACTGTATGCCAAGAAATTTGAAAACCTAGGTGTAATGGACAAATTTCTAGAAAAACATAATCTTCCAAACTCAATGAAGAAGAAGCAGAAAACCTGAACAGACCAATAACGGCAAATGAAATTGAAGCAGTAATAAAAAATTTCCGAAGCACAAAAGCCCTGAACCATATGGCTTCATGGGAAAATTCTAAAAAGCATTTAAGGAAGAAATAACCCCTATTCTTCACATACTATTCCAAAAAATCCAAAATGATGGAAAACTCTCAATCTCTTTTTATGAAGCCAGCATCATCCTAATTCCAAAACCAGACAAAGACACAACAAAGAAAGAAAACTTCAGGGCACTATTGCTGATGAATATAGACACTAAAATCCTCAAAAAATGTTGGTAAATTGCATCCAACAATACATTAAAAAGATCACACACCATGACCAAATGGAATTCATCCCAGGGATTCAAGGATGGTTCAATATTCGCAAATGAGTAAATGTAATACAACACATAAGCAAAAGCAAAAACAAAAATCACGTGATCATATCAATAGATGTGGAAAAAGGTTTTGATAAAGTACAGCACCCATTCATAATAAAAACACTCGGTAAAGTGGGAATAGAGGGAGCATTCCTCAATATAATAAAGGCCATATATGAGAGACCTACAGCCAACATCATACTCAATGGGCAAAAACGAAAAGCTTTTCCACTAAGATCAGGAACAAGACAAGGTTGTCCACTTTCACCACTTTTATTCAATATAGTATTGGAAGTTTTAGCCACAGTGATAA